ATCTTAAGCATATTCACACACACATATATATACATGTATAAATATATGATTTACCTTTAAGTTTTAGCCCCTTGCCGCGCCCTCACCGTAGCCCTCTTCCCCATCCCATTTAGTGTTAAGCATATGTTTAAGTGAGGTTATGTTAATCTCTGTGGGCATAGCAAATTGGTGTACTTAAGCCGATTTTAGGACTGTGCATATGTATATGTATATTCATATGTATATGTATGTATGTTTGTACGTATGTCTGTATGTTTTTACATGTGTATGTTTACACACTCATACACACAACTTACGTTCGTATGCAAATTTTTATGTAGTCGTTAAGAGAACTTTACCGTTAATTATTAAGCGTTTATTTTTAAGCAGCCGAAACACAAACAGGAGAATGAGAATGAAAATGAGGATTAATCAAAATGATGAATATTAACAGTAAAACGAACCCGTTAGTCAGTTGTTAGCAATTACATAACGTTACAGTTTTTTTTTTATCGAAACTATGTCAAATAATGCGATCAATACAGTAAAAAATCGACAACAAAATATATACCTTAACGAATGTTCAGTTAACGGCGCTTGCTCTTTTTTTGAATTTGTGCAGTTAAATATCCTGACGGGATTTATTTGCTCTGGCACTATTTGCTTCATTGAAGGGCTCTCGGAGGTGCTAAGTCCCTTACTATTCCCTTCCATTTTATAAAATATGGTCTGGTTTGTGTCTATGCTAAGTCCCTTTTTTTCCCTTTTATAAAATACTTATTTATTTCCTTCCACTCTTATACAGGCCCAGCCATTATTTATTTCATATTGAAAAATCCTCATAGTTAAATTCCTTTTTTAAAATACTGGCTGGCTTGTGTCTATGCTATTTGTCTGGGTTGCTGTCTTCGCTGAATGTGCGGCCCATTTTTAGTACGCAATTTTCGTGTAGTTTCCAATTCGCCGGATTGGTGTCCTTGCTGCTATAAATTGCAGCACGTACATAAACCACAAAAGAGTTGCTTTGCTTTTTTTTTTTTTGTTTTAAAGCAAAAATTGTTTTTTTTTTTCCGTATTCTGCATTTACAAACCGTCGATTTGGTCAAGTACTAAATATATACATATATGTATGTATTTACACTGAGAGTCTGAATAAAGTAAAATATGGAAATGTTTTCTTTGTATGTTTAAAATCTAGGTTTATATGAATTTGTATAGATGAAAGACTTTTCCAGCACAAATCAGCCCGCAAAGTGCATTTTATGCATCCGATTTGATTTCCACATGATCGACAGCAAAAATAGTTAGAATACCGAAAATGTTATAAAATCACACAAAACTCTATTGAAGTGTCCTTCAAATAAAGCCACACATACATACATATGATATCAATGTAATGAATGTGCTGTATTATTTGCAGCAGCTCAAAAGCTGAATGCTGCAAGAGGTGCAAACTGAAGACTCTTCAATTTTAATGAACGAATGAGCGTGTTTAAATATACATACATACATAGATAGGCATGTATGTGTGTATTGGTATTGCTGAGTGCAGATAGGTTGAAGGCACAGTGAAGAGGCAGGCGCCACACACACAAGCACGCGCACACGCATGAAAAGGAAGGCGTAAATGAAGCGGAAATTGAAATGTGTGCAGCAAGCGAATGTACGC